GGGGGGGGGGGGGGAAACGGCGTAGAAAACTGGATGAAGTTGGAGAAGTTGTTGAAATGTTTAGTAGTAAAAGTGCAAGGAGCTTGGGAACCAGAAGAGCTGAGGAACAAGAACGACTGGTGCAGGATGTGAAACTGGATATTATAGGGATAGCAGACATGATGGGACAGTATGCATACCAGACATTACCTGTTTTCTGATAGTGTAGGCAAGATAAAAATTGAAGAGTGGGTGTAGTGTGGGATGTAAATGAAATAATAGACTGCTTTTCCTCTGTGTTGCTTTTCAGTGTCACTTGCATAAAAATTGTGTTGGGGAGAAATAAAGTTGCAAACTTGGAATCAGAGTTGCAGTGGATAGACAGATATCTCTTAACATTAAAATATTTCTCAGGAATATTTCTCTGAACTGGAAAACAATTATGGCTAATAATGGAACACATGAGTCAGTATTTGCTGGCCAGGTGATAGATGACTTTTTTCCTGTTGTTCACCACCACTTCTATAAGTGGTCACAGTCTTACTCAATTTATTGTATGAGGGGGCAAAGTGAAGTCTGTCTTAGACCACTGTAAGATCTAGCACATAAAAAAAAATAAAAATCTTTGCAGCCACACCTGCAATTTTAGCAGATTGGTCAATCTGGGATAAGAAAGACAGATCACTTAACATTTCTGATTGTCAGTCAAGAACATCTCATACTTAAGGGAAAAAAGCAATCTTTTAAACTGTAGGTAGTTAAGGCCACCTTGGTAGTATGGGAAGTCTCTCCTTCAGGGTTTATTTAAAGAGCAACTAGAGATGCAGGTTTACTGAAGGGAAGAAGTGTTTTTGCCCAGACTGAGCAGCTGTGGTAGATTTTTACTTCACCATTACCAGAACTGTGATTGACACAGTGCTACCCAGTTTGAGATGGAGTAGCAGTGCCCAGCACTAAAAAAGGAGCTAGTACTTCTCATTTTCTTTAATGTTCTGCCATAAGATAGCGCTGTGGGGATTTTTGCTTCTTTTTTCCTTAACAAATAAGATGAAGGTTAGTGTTTTCAATGCAGAGAGATTGGAATATCTTGTGTGAGAGTGTAATAACCTTGTGAGGGATGAACTTCAATGGAGTTGACCATCGGGCTGTGCCTTTAGGTCTTGATGCCTTTGGATGTGGTCTGGGTGTTCCAGCAGTTGGAAGTAGCTGGGGAGAAGTTACCCTAATGCCCCAGTTTATCACAAGGTGGCTAAACTGCGAATAATGATGTGGAAACAGCAAATGTGGGTTTGTGATGTGTATTAGCAGTTTCCTTTTGTTAGAGAGGGGAGCATTAGTGTTGGCACACAAACAAGAGCTCATCCTTAATACTCATGTATCTGAATCATGCACAAGATATTTCTCCATTCCTTAATTAACTCAGTAACTCTCCTTTTCACCAGTTCTGAAGGGAACAAGACTTTCAGAAGGTTTTTCTCACTCCTGAGTGCTTTACCACTTAGTCAAGCTGAAATGATACTCTTTTCACTGGGCTGGCTTCTCATTTAACTGAAAGCTCTGGCATTTTACTTCCATGTGATGTGAAATGGGCATCTATAGGGAGAGGAACAAGCATTAGTGTTTCTATAGGATTTTGCATTAATAAGCAGGTACTGAGATGATATTTGTTGTGAGACTGGCTTGATTACTCACTGAGGTGAAGAACAAGTTGGATGTTTCTCCATGTGGATTGAAATACTTAATTGACTCTGTGGAGCACTGCAGAGAGAGTGTAAGGAGGAGTATTTAGAATTTTTTATCTGTAGATATGCTTGTTCTACAATAAAGAAATATTAATGAATAAAGTGCAAAATATAGTATAAAAGAATTTGGTACACAACACCTGGTAGATGAGGAGATGATTCACTGTTATAGTTTCACTGAAATAATGGAAAACACATGGAAAATAGCCTGCTGTGTGCAACTGAAAAACAGCTCCTGATTTCTTCCTTTTTCTTAAAAAAATTCTGATTCCCCTTAAAATATGAATCCAGGTATCATTAATGTAATCCTTAAAAGAATACAAGATATGCTTTTCTAGCTGAGTAGCATGTCTAGTAATACCTGTAGGTTCTGCCTTGTGAATGTATTAAATACTTTGCAAGGGAGTCTGTTCTGAAGTCTGGAAGTATAAAAAAATGACATGGTGTGGCTTTATTGAATGAAAAGAGCTTTGACTTTGCTTTCTCAGTTGTCTTGGGCTAAAATGGGACAGTTCTGCCATGTGAGTGCCTTGCACAGTGGCCATGCAGAGTCATAACTGATAAATCAGGCCCCAGATGTTTTGGTGCCTCTTTGGCTTTGTTCACCTCCAGCCAGGTGAAAACCAGCTTGTGAATCCAGCCTGGGTGGTCATGGTGGCTGTGCAGGTGTATGCCTGACAGTGGCTTGGGGAGCTTTTAAGCCATTAATGAACACCTGAAATACAGCTTAATTGAGGGGTGTCCTAATCACCCCGGATTATTTCAGCTTCAGCAGTGTGTTTGTAAAAAACTATTAAGATGCATGATGAAGAAGTTGCTTACAATTTTCCTGGTAGATCCTTACTAGCTTGCTCAAGTGTTGATGTGAAATAGCAATAGCTAGATTATGTTCCCTCTTCAAGAGGAATACTAAGGAAAGCTGCCTGGATGACTGTGATGGGATGGTAGGAAAATTTCTCAAGATTTCTTTCATTTTGAGTAGTGTAAATCATCTCCTAGCCATCCCTAATAAGCTTACATCCAAGTACTCTGTAAGTCTCAATTGTATGTGCATTGTGTTTTGCAGATAAGCAGTTTCTGAGGGCTGAAGGACCTGCTAAAGGGAACACCTGCTTTTGAGGTATGAACTACTTCTCTAATGACACACCACCAAATCTTGACTTAAAAGCAAAGTTTCATACAGCTGTGTGCACACACTAAAATTTGATTTGTTCTGAGAAATACGGCTATTATCTAGAGTTCCGAAACGTCAAAATCTCCCACAGAAGTTCAGTAACAAAGCTTGGCAGAGCAGGCACCCCTGGCTATGACAAGTAGAGTGTTAAATGGGCTCTGGGAGAGTCTGTTTGTCTTTAAAAGGCATTATACGGAGAGATCTGCAGCTGGAACTTCTGCAGAATAAACATATCTGAAATGCACTTACCTTTCCATTCCTTTCTGTTAAATGCTCCATTTACTGCTCTTTTTGCATCCTTCCTCTGGGGTATTTATTAAAGCTTCTAACACTCCCCTGCTTCCCTTCAAGACAGCATGACTGGCGTGTGACGTGAGGGATGTCTTTGCTGGCTAGTTGGGTGGTCTTTTCTTGTTTTTTCTGCTGCAAAGGGCAGACATCTTGTTTAACTTGTTCACTCAAATCTTTATCAGAGTAAGAGGATGACAGAAGGCTAAAATGGGCAAATTAGGCTAAGAAAAAACAAATCTGATTTGTTAGGAATTTGGAGCAGTGGATCATCCAGGTTTCTTTTCCTAGCCTGTCTTTGTGGAAGGCACCCTAAAGGTACATTTTCACTGGAATCTATCCTCAGGTCTGCAGTCTGAGGATATTTGATGTGCCGGTGCTCACGTAACATGCTTTAGTGAAGGAATTGCCATTTCCTCATTATAATTGTATGGACCCAGGTGTCTTCTGCATTGCAGTTTAGTTAGCATGACAGTGATTGTTCTGAATGCTGACTGTTTCTTCAAGTCCTGGGAGCAGTTATCAGCCTGTTTATTCCACTAATTAATACTTTCTTCTGCCTTAACCTTAAGGTAGTCTAGAATGTAAACCAGTGAAACACAGGGCAAGGGCTTGTACAAAAATGACGAAGCTGTTCATGATGTCAGTCTGCCTGTACCATCCTGTGATACTTGGCTGTGAAGAACGCAGAAGAGTCAAATGGATGCCGTTCAATTACAGCTTGTTTTAACATTGCCAACTGTATGGACTATGATTTACTAAAACTGTCTTGTAGTGACACTAGCCTTGCATGTCTCCTAGGACTTTGTTATGGGGATGGGATAAAATTGTTCCTAAAATGCCTTATTTAGTCTCCTCAAATGGCAGGCACAGAGCTAAAGTCCTGTCTTTTCTGTTGGGCTGATGCTCTTGTGTATCCAGTGACAATGTGACTGGAACCAGGATCAGTTAGGGCCAGCACCACCACCACCACTTGTTTGTACTTTGGCTGCCTGCCAAGCCATCTTAAGTCATTTTCTAAAAGCTGTTGGAATAAAAGCCGAGTGATGGCTTATCTCCGCCTGGGTGGGATGGAGGGAGGGGAGGTGCTCAGATGCCGTGTGTGTTTCTCACTGTGGCCTCAATGGAGCTGAAGAGATTGTGGGAGGTGGACTGTCACCCCCTCCTGCAGGGAGTGAGCACTGTGTGCAGCTGAACAGAGAAGATGACATAGGAGTGTAAGCACCTTTCCGACACATTCTGGTCTTGAACTTTTTTTCCTCCCTTTCCACCTCATTTAGCTTTGACCAATGTGGTCTTAGTGGCTTCCAGACTGCTTGGATGTCTGGGATGGATTTCAGACTTCTCTCTACTTGGTCCTCTTGTTAACTCCAAAGTTGTCTAAGGGGATGAGTTTGCTGTGTTACAATTTTCCTCTTCTCTTTTCCCCATTGTACAAAAAAGAGCGTTACAATGTAAGCTGCCCCCAAGAGTCCCAGGGATTCATGTGGCTGTACCTCTCAACATCTGTTGTTCTGTAGTTTCAGGACATGGAAACCAAACAGGTGTTTCCCACAGACTGTATTCAGCAACTAAAAATGCTTCCTGAAGTAATTTATCCGGGAGCATTTAATCCATGCTCATTGATGGCCTAGATGAATAAAGGCAGCTTCCTCCCCAACATCCTTTGGAGAAGCCCAGGAGAGCAGGCAGGAAGGAGGAAGGGTTTGTGAGTCTGGCACTAGCTGGCTGCTTCTTGTTGGATGACCCGATTGAGGAGTATCTTGGATTCTTTACAAAACAATAGCCAGTTCATCTCCAGACTGTGTCTCAGAAATAAATGGTTTTTTTCTGCTTATTCTGCTGTGAGTTCTTTTAACCAAGTATGGTTACATGTTTGGGGATCTTGCTTTCTTAAACCTCAAATACTGACTGTGACTTGTGGCACCTAGAACTTCATTTGGTTATTGCATTGGTTATGTGTGTATAAGTGGAGAGTAAGTACTTCTAAATACATTACCTGATAGATTTTTTTTTTTTGTATAACTGCTCTAACTGGGAAGAAACATGCACAAACCCACATCTTTAGGATCAATTTTATCGTTGAAAAGTGAACTAGATTGGGGCTGCTGCTGCTGACATAATTGTGATAGGAACAAGTGGCTGCTACTCCCTGCTCCCCTCCTGCAGCCCAGCTTTGTCTCCAGAGAATTCTCCTCAGGTAAGGCAAGCAGATAAGAACAAACTTCCTTTGACTCTGTGCTTTAGCAAGTCACATGTGATTGCTTGTCCTCAGAGGATTCTGCTGTTTGTTGGAGGGAGGGGCTGATGCATTATCACTCACAGCTTTAAAAGGGGCTTGAGGAAGTGTATGCTCACCTTCTAGGCTGAGAATGACAAGAGCAGAAGCGAGAAGATTTGGCTCTCAAAGTAAGAGAGAACCCTTGGGAAGAAGGCAGTGCTAGCCTGTCCGCACCTGGAGTGCTGTGTCCAGGTCTGGGGCCTCCGACATCAGAAGGATATGGACCTGCTTGAGCAGGAACTGGATGACCTTTAAGGTCCTTTCCAACCCAAACCATTCTAGGATTCTATGTCACTTTACCACATACAGTTTTACTTCCTTAAGATGGTGTGGGCAAACCCTTTATTTTTTTTTTTTAAATTTTTTTCAGTACTACACTGAACAATTATGTATTTGGTCCCTTATCTTTCCCTTTTTAGAAGGTAAACTGCCTGTGTCAAAGGGCACAATACTGTGATACTGGATACTGCAGTCATACCTACAATAAGGAAGAGAATAATTCTCTAAAGAAACTAATAGACCCTACCTGATAACACTGTGGGGAGACCTGACATTTTTTTTTTAATTGCTCTTTCTTTCATGAAAGCTTAGCTTTTGCCAATGCCTTGTTTTTCAGCCGTCGTTGAATGTATTTGTTATCAAGAGTACGGAAATATAAATACAATAGTGGTTGAACTGCAGTAGCTACTCCCTTCCTTCTCTGCTGGCTTCCTGCATACATTTTGGATGGTGGAAACTATTCTTCTGCATTAATTCATTTCAGAAATGAGTGTTCTTCCCCCTGTTGCCACCCCGTTGGGTTTCAAAAACCAAAGGGTATGAGCGTAGAGAAACTATGACTCTCACATACGTTCCTCTTCCTGTAGCTCCTTTCAGCATTTTCCTGTGCATTGGCTCACAGGTCATCTTGTTTTTCTCCACTTTACCTAAACCAGATGAGCCACATGGGCACCATTCTAGTTGAACTAAGCCTGCATTCATCTGCTTGCAAAGTTTGAGCATGTTTCTTAGAAGAAAAACAAAAAAACTGGAGCAGTGACTTCAGTGTATGTCTCCCAGACTGAAGTTTGCAGTTACTTTTGAGAGTTGTTTCCTAAATATGGTTCTACCTGTTCTAGTTGGGACACTAGTAGCTCATGTTGGTTGCTTTCTTAGGCAGGCAGGCATTTTGTCATTAAAACCAGCTCAAGAAAATGGAAAGGCTCAAATGGTCAAATTTGTTCTTTTGACTAGCTCAGGAGGAATTGGGTTCAGCTGTTTGACGGGTGTAAGCAGTTAAATTGGTCTCAGACTATGGCTGTCATGTGCTTTTCTTACAAAGTCATTCATGAACTTTGCATCACAGTGACAACTTTCTGGGGAGAGTAATTTATCTTCAATTACCCAGGTCTTTCTTGCATAACCTGACACTTTTAGTGCTATTAGTATGTCTACACTGTACTAATGTTGCTTCCTTTTCAGAACTGAGGAGTTCTGTGATGCTCTTATGGCACTTGGCCAACTGCATGACTGAACTTAGCTAAATAAAAATCCCTGGGATCCTGTCTAAGAATAAACATCACGTGAGAGCAGGAGTGTTTCCCTGCTTAGAGAGAATTAAAATGGCGTGCTGGTAAGGAGTAACAGCAGCAGCTTAAGGGCTAGGCTGGCATCCCTCTGAGTAAAAGGGGTAAGCTCAAAGTCCAGAGGAAGCAGAAGGTTCTAGCATGTAACCTTTAGCTTTCCTTGCTGTTGAATTTGTCAGTCCAGGATGACATGGTGCTTTCAGAATGTACTGTTTTTATAATTCCAGAATCTGATAAATACCCTTATGAAAGAGATGTTAACATAGATGCTTAACTTCTAGCCTAGCAGTGTTTCATAGTGGGCCTTGGCCTACAGCTTAAATGCCTATTAATGTGCTATTGAGCACATTTCTGAGCAGTTCTCTACCTGTATTTTTAATTTTATCCCCCTTGGTAGCATGAGAGGTACTGGGACTGGTGTAGGAGTCTCATAATGTTGCCTCAGATGGGCCTGCATGTGGCTTATGTTCGGGCACAAGCAGTAATGGATGCTGAGATAATGTTATCTTGCAAGTAATTCCCTTGCTGAGGGAGAAGGTCTCAGCGCTGCTGGCCTGCGGTGCGTTAACGCTGGTAATGGAGCGCCTGAATGCGCCTTGTATTCTGCGGTCCCTCAGGAAAATGCGTGTTCTCTCCTCTGAGAGTTCTTTGGTGACTCACCGGACTTCTGCTTGCTTCACATACAATTCTGAAGCTAAAATTATTGTTCTACCTTTCTCTGTTTTGAAGCTGTTACATGACCAAATAGGAGTGCCTCTTTCTCTTGGATCGCAGGCAGGCTATATTTACTTCCCAGGCTTCTAGCAAATCCT